AGGTGCTTGGAGTTGAAAATGCTGAACAAGATCAGCTCTATTTTAGTGCTTTGAGTGGTAGTGACAAGCTTGGTGTGACATGAATCTCTGCCCAAAACAATGATTCTAAGAAACTGCATATGCTATTTAGGAGAAAAGCAAGCTTCTGTGGTTCAAAACAGCCTCAGAGCTTCTTGTTTCTCAAGGCTTGTGCTTGGATTTTTGGGGCCAGATCTGAGATTTGAATTTCTAGCTGAATATGAAGGCCTCAGTGCTGATACAAATTCTGGGGATATTTTGTGTTGGGGAAAAAATTATTTTTGTGTGTAGGTAGCCAAGTTTGTGCTACTTGGATAGGATGAGAGATGCAGGTTTTAGAGTGACAGATCAGTGTGACTTTGTTTGCTGGACAAAGGTTTCAAGTTTAAACTTTGAGGGGGTGCAAGCTTAGAGTTCTCTTGACAAAGGTTCAGTGTTACTCCACATTTCAAACCTACTAAAGTACTTAGCATCAGCTCAGTGAAGATTTTATTGGTAAAATGGAAGTGGAAGCATCTTCAGCCATTGCAAATCATCTTTGCAGTATGTTTTTTGTCCCCTCCTGCCTCCCTGTACACATTCATGTATACATACTTTTTCCCAGGTGAGAAAATGGTGCAGGTGAATGCTGCTGCTTCTGCTCAAAGGGTGGGGGCATACCTGGAATGGATCTTGACTAATGCCTCCAAAGAGCAGCAGTAACACCCACCTTTGTGCTTCCCCACAGAGAGCAGTCCAGCTCCTCATGGTAACTCTGGGACAGCTAAAGGCAATAGGAATGGAGAGGTACGTGTGTGTGCATGTGTGGGCACACATGTGTGTCCTCTTGTACCCTCAGGTGACAAACCTCAAAAAACTTTCCAGGTTAGCTTGTGTCTTAATCTGAGCTCCCCAAGCCTCTCCATGTGCATCATTTTTGTTCCAGCTTCATCTCCCCCAGCTTGCAATCTGTCTGTCATGACTCACACACTCTCTGGCTTTGATTAGGCTCCATCTGCTTTCTCAGCCAGTCAGATACCAGTTCCTCTGTAACACACCGTAGGAGAACTGTGGGACTGGAGCAGAACATATATCTGTATTCGGGAGAGAGGAGGGGGAGGTGTATTGACTCCAGCCTCAAAGTTTCTCCTTGTCTCATCTGTCTCAGTGCAAGTGTTTGGCTAAGCTGCAAAATGTAAGTCTGTACTTGCCAGTAATAAGGCTGGGGCTGACTTGGAGAAACTTGTCCTTCCTGAGGGTGTGTGGACCCCCAGATCAGATTTGGTCTCAGAGTTGCCACTCACCGCACGTTTATGGGTTTTTAAAAGGAATGTCCTTTCTCCCCTGCTTATTTAAAGGACTATCACAGTTCCCTGAGGAAAAATAGCAGTTGCTTTGCCTCTTCTCTGCAGGCAGGGGAAGGTGACACAAAGGTAGCAGGGAGGCTGTGTGCTAATGCAGCCAGAAATGTGCCACAACCCTCTGGTGGAGGCAAGCAGCTGGTATGCGCAAGAGACTTGCCCTCAGATCACCACTGTCTTCTCACAAGGACAGGGTGACCCTCGGCGGACTGAAGATCACTTTGGCAGGGAAGGGCTGTCCCCAGTTAGCTTATAGAGGGGGATCATGTGTCAAAGACAATACAGAGCGGGTGGGCTCTGAATTCCAGACAACAAAAATACATCTCCCCCTCTTCAAGAGACTAGCTGGGGAGATTTCCCTCTACTATAAGCTTGTCACAGACTCCCCCACCCATGAGCATCATCAGAGAGGAATTGTTGCAAGGTCAATCCTTGGAATTAAAGCCAGGAGGGAATTTTCCTAGGGAGACTGGGTTAGAGATAACCATATTTTTTACTTGCTCCTGAGACAGCTTATGGATTTTTATTAACTTTCACCTGTTAAGGTGAAACTGGTCACTCTAAGTTAGATAATGCTTTACTAATATGAAGAAGGTGGATGTGGCCTAACATGTAGGAGAATACCCCCAAGAACATATTCTCAGAGCCTGGATTTCTTCTCTGTTGCTGATAAGTGGAAACACATCCAATACGCGGCTTGGATCAAAAATATGGTAGAAAAAGATGTAGAATGTTAGAGGAAAGCTGCAGAATACACAGAATTTGATTTTGCCTATTTACTGAGAAAACCTCACAAGGACAGTGAGTTAAACAAAGCAGCATCTTATCTTTGGATGCTAAGGTTTTGCATGCATGACATGAACTGACAAGACATCTTTTTGCAAGATACAGATCAAGATCTGCTCCAGATTTAGAACTGGAATAGAGAGGGATGCTGCAGACAAGGGTTGAGGTCTCTGCTGTTAGTCACAACAGAGACAAGCTGGCAAAAGTGAGAACTGGAATTCTCAGATCTGAGGTATGCAGAAATATGTGGAAAGTAGGCAGGGTAGAATTATCAGGAGAGAGAGCAGGAGTTTTCAGAGAGAAGCCTGTTTACAAAGTGTAGAAAATGTGATGTGGCTTCCCTCTGCTGTATTTCTTGGCAGCCTGCTAACACTCCATAATTTTTTTTTGAGTTGTTATTTTTTAAGACTATAATTTTGTAAAAATTGTGAACAGTCATTCAGGGACAAACACAAGCACTTGAAATATAGGTGCATACATGCTGTTTTACTCCTCTCTCTCCAACACTGAGGATGCCCCCACTTAAGATTTTCCCATTCTATTTAAAAATTCCAGAGATGATGGGAAAACAAAGAGGCTTCCCTCCCTTCCAGTGCTTTTCTTAGAGCCCTGGCTGAATTCAAGATGTGAGACATAGACCAAATATTTTCCTCCCACCTGTTTTTAGGGCATGGCTCAGCTAAAGAATAGAGGAGAAGCTCCTAACTGCACCCCCATCCAGGAAAATCCCAGAGTAAAAATAGACAAAGAGAAAAAATGTTCTACATGGGAATGTTTGGGGGGGATGCAAGATAAGAGCTAACGAAAAGGAGTTGCAGCAACATGGACGGGATTGTAGCCAGAAGCAGCAATATGCTTCTAGGCTGGAGGTCTGGCTGTGTTTACACTGGTGCATGCAGGCCAGGTGTGACTAGAAGGATGACACCAATGGAGAATGAGAAGAGCTGCTCCTTCTCCACTTTCCACGTGGCAGATTGACCCAGAGCATCCTGACTGTGTCCAGCAGTATCCATGTCCTGTTACAATCCCTTCTGCCATGTTACGTAGATATGGCAGAAGCCTAAGCATTATGAGCCTGCCCTTAGCCACCTCGCAGTCTGCATCTGACTCCTGCACACACCTGTATAGTCCAACAGCCTAACAGCCTTTGCACAGAAAGAAAGCAGAGAAGAAAGGGTCAGTCCGAAGCCCCTTCTCCCAGCTGAATCAGTCCTCTGTGGGGATTGCAGAGAACATCCAAAAGCTTCTCTTTGAGGAGCAAACACAAGAAGACTGGCTCAACTGAAGTGTGATGGACTACTCCTCTCACACCAGCTATAAGGGGACATCCTCATCCTCATCTTCATCCTCATCCAGGTCAGTGGAGCGTAGGCTTATGTCCTTGAGGATGTCTGAGATGTTTTCAGCAACTGGCCCTGTCAGCTCCATCTCTTCCAACTCAGTATCAGTGGCATAAGTGGAGCACAGGACTTCCCCTTCTTCATGCAAGTGTGAGGGCTGGGGGGAGTGCGAGCAGGGAGGCAGTGGGCTCTCTGTGCCCAAGTCCGCTGCTTGCTGTGCTGCCACCATGCAGTTGTCCTGCCGGCTCCACACCTGAGTGGCCTGGCTGACCTTCTCACTGCTGATGGAATTCCGGTTGGTATCGCGGAAACTGGCAAGGGGTGGGCGGAGGCGAACCCCAGAGCGTGTGGAGCCCTCTATTGCCTTCTGAAGCTGTGAGAAGAGAAAAAGTTCAGAAAAAATGGATGAAAAGGAGGCTGACCCAGCCCTACCCAGCAGAAGTTCATCTACTCTCCAGGGTAAAGGGATCACAAATAGAGAGACTCACAGCTCTACCTCTGGGGCCTGTGGAGATCATCTTTTACACTGGTCATGTAATTTTTCATTCCAGGGTAAATAACAAATTCGACACCACTTTCAGAGACAGTAATAGCCACTCAGTTAAGAGCCCTACGTTCATGAAAAGGACGAACCATCTAACATCCCTGTAAACAACACCTGCTGCCTTCTCTGAGATACAGTCATCCATTCCTCTACATGGCTTCCAGAGGGTTGACTCAGAATTCAACACTGGATTGAAAATGTAGCTATCGCAGTTATATATATATTCCCAGCTGGATCCTCCAACACCTGTAAGTTATTGCAATGATCCACAGGACATTTGCAGTTGATTAGGAGGAGATGAAAGGATCTGTACTTACCTCTTCCAAAGCCAACACTCCCCTCAGCTTCCCCATACTGGTTACATAGGCATGGCTGAGGCCCAGTAGTGAGAACAATGTATGTGTCTATGAGCAAAACCACAAAAGACCACGTCAGGGACTTTGGAAACTTGGTAACATGATACTTGTTGCTAGAGCTGGGACTTGGGATTTAGAAATGGGAATCACAAAGGTGGACAAGTCTGCAGTCATCCCAGTGAGAAACTACCTCTTCCCTTCCCCTTCTGTAGCTAGCAAATACTACCCTTTGGTCCTTCTGCTGTGCAGCCATACTTGGGAGTGTGTTGATGATGGAGAGCACATTCTCAAGGTCACTCCCATCCTGCATCTGGCAAACAGAGATTCACATGCAACACCCTGTGTACTTGGGGACTTATGCAGATCCTATTTCATTTTGGTGCTGGAAATTAAACTATCGTATAGTAATATGCAAACTCAGAACCTTCTTAGGTTATTTATTCCAGTGCTTTCCTTAACACTAGAAGATTTCTTTTTTCTTGTTCCAGAATGTTTCCTGTCAGAACTTAAGCTTGTTGCTGCTTATCCAGCAGCAACTGAGAACAAGTTATTCCCTTTCTCTTACAAAGCCTTCTTAAAAGGACAGATATCACACTGCTATCAGTCTTCTTTTCTTCAGCCTCAATATATACCCCATTATTTTGCTGTTCTTCATAGATCAGGCTTTCTAAAACTTTCAGCATTCTCAGTGCTCATCTGTGGGGTATTTCTAACCTCCAAGTTCTTTAAGCTGAGCTCTAGCTAGACTTTACCTGTGGCCTCACATGAAGTCATTCTTTCACAGCTGGTGTTTGCCTTTTTTTTAACATCACATGAGATATTGAATGTCATGTTCAAGTGTAAACTAGGAAAAATCTCATTTCTCGGGAACAAGACATTTTACCCTAATGTAAAAGAAAATCAGACTGGTTAAATACAATTTGATTATGATAAGCTGTGATATTCTTGCCATTGTCAGTAGTCGTACATTTAGTTCTAACTATGCATAACTCAGACAGTTTGATTATTTATTCCTGCATTTTTTGTGCATCCAAGTTAGGTTGACTTGTTATTTCAGAGTTTCTCATTTGCTCTTTTTTACAAGAGGTATGAAACTTCCCCCATTTGCAGTCTTCAGGTATAATTTCTTGTAACCCCTATATTCTCAAAGATAAATGCTTTCAGATTACTTCAGCCAGCCCTTTAGAAAACACCAAAGTCATCTTAAATATATGCTAACCTGTTCTTATTTTGCTCAAGGCTGAGATCCTACCCCTTTGATAACAGTAATTAATTAATTTTGTGCAAGGCATATGCTGACCATTCACATTAAATGAACATTGATAAAAACATGCACTGTGCACTTTTGCTTCAGTAGACTGCTTTCCCTTTTCATTGAGTGAAAGCCCAGTCCTCTCTTACTCCTGTTATAAAATGATTGCTTTTATCCACAGTCATCCTGTGCTAACCCTAGAAGTTGTATGATCCAGCTTCCTCTTTCCTTGTGCTTCAGTTCGATGAAGAGCCTGTGATACAGGGTGGTTTCAAGCAACTCTTCTCATGCACTGAGGCAGACTCTACACCCTGACAGAAACACCCTGAGAAATCCACGAGTACTCATTCCAGTGCTGCACACTGACAAAGCAGGGTGTAAATCTCAGTGTAATGCCCCCAGCAGCAAGGCATACAATGCTTCTGTTAATGTAGTAGCTGGAAAATCCTATGTGGTGTCCAAAAGCTATTTTAATAAATGCACTCAGACTTATTATCATGTAGCCTTTCATATTGCAGGAGATTGGAGGTACATGCAGAAGGTTATAGGAACAAACCGACTTCTGTAGCTGGATGTGGAAGTAGCTGGTGAGAGAGGTTGTAGGTGAAGACAAGGAGAAGAAATAAGTCATAGACTAGACTTGCAATGATAGATAGGGTGGAGAAAAAATGTATGCCTCAGAGAAACATCTGCACCCACCTTGTGCAGGGAAGTTCTCTCCACCAGTTGAAAAGGGGAAGGGTCTATGCGGCAGCTGTCAAAGCACACATTCTTGTTCAGCTCCTCCTGTTCCCAAGCATCTATCTGACACAGGGAAGGAGATGAATCACTCTTACAGTAATCAGCAGTGTTGCTGTCTTGTGTACCCAAGCTAGTCCCATTCTCCTGTTAATGCTTCTTCCTTCCTATGTAGACCATTCATCTTGCCCATTATATCACACCCCTCAGGTTTCCCATCCCTTCTTTGCCAGATGCCAAATCCCTGTGGAAACAGAGTAATTCCAGTACCTCAGAGGTTTTCTGAGAAGGTGAGGTTTTGCTCCTTCCTGCTTAAAGAGGGAGTGAACATCTTGGCTTTCCTTTCTGAGTGCATCTTTGCCTTGTCATTGCAAGATAATAGTTCCTTTGTGTAAAAAATGAAGGAACATAGACCCACAGATTTAGGTGAGGGGGTACCTGTGGAGGTCTCCAGTCCAAAACCCTGCTCACAGCAGGGCTGACTTCAAAGCTAGATCAGGTTAGTCAGAGCCTTACTCAGCACATCTAGCAGAACAATCTCTTCTGTTATTGGGTGAGACTTGCCCACTGTGCAACTCTAAGAAGAAAATGGCTTTAGCTATGGCTTTATGTGGCAATCACTGAGGTTGTTGGAGTTCAGGAAGTATTGCAAGTGACAGGAAATGGGCAAAAGAAGCACTCAATTAACCCACTCCCTTTCTACACCCGGTCTTACCTCTTCTGGCCTCATTGTGTCAACGACTTCCACTGGCTCCTGTAGGAGAAAACACTGTTCAGGACAGATGAAGAACCCACAGTTTCAGAGTACAGAAAGGAAAAATTTGCACAGCCTCCTCACCCCATGTGACCCCCTTTTTGTTCCAAATAGTATATTACTGAGTGTTTAGATTTTCTTTATGCTGATACATTATAAGGTGTACTCTGTACTTGCTGTGCTTCCCTTGCCAATGAAGATTGACTATGGAATGCTGGTGGAGCAATTCAGGTGCCTAAACATGGTCATCTAGTACTGCTTTAGACGTTTTCGGATATTCCACATGGGGTCCAACCACTGCCCTAGAGTGGATGGGTCTCCCATAGGCTCTGGATGATATCCACCAACCCTGTGCAGATATATGAGATACCCAAGGGCATCTAACATGGCACAAGGTAAAAGCATTTTTTCATTTTTATCTGGCCAAAACTGTTCACCAAATGGAATAGAACTGCACTTTATTCCAGGTTAGCCAAAATAGTGTTAAGGTATTCAGTGAGAAAAAGATGCCCATGCTCAGTCATGATGGTAGCCTTGACACCTGAGCACAGATGGCTCTTTAGGAAGATGCACATTCCTTTACAGTAATCACACCCCTTCTCCTTGGAGAGAGTCCCTCACTGATGCTGTCAGAGTTCAGGACCATAAGTGTGTCCGTGCTTTGGCCAAATGCTGAATGTCTCCAAGTAGTAGGTTCTATTTCCATTGCATTCCCTTCCCTCTTCAGGGTACTACTAGGCTGCCTGTATCCCTAACCTGGACGGCACTCTCTGTTTCAAGTGGACGGTTGTAATGGCACAAGAGCTGCTGGATCAGTTGCCTCAGGCGCCTGAAATTGCCTGAAGGATGAAAACAAACACATGGATAAGAGAGAAGAATAAGTGAGAGACAAAAATACAAAGCCCCATGCCCACCTCCTTGCCCAAGGCAGGCTGGGAAATAATATGAGTGACATAGTAAATGGTATGTGACAGGGCTGAGCCAGTCACAATCTAGCATTCAATTTGTAAGATGGTGTCTGGGACATGCCAGAATAAATACTCCCATGCAGTATCTTTTCCTTAAGGAGAGGAAACAAACCATTACAAAGTAGCCCTTGCAGATAATATTCATAGATCAGTGTCCCTGAAGAAAAAATAAACAAGCGAAACTACTAACACAGCAAACAATCTGACACAAGGGATAAACTGCTGTGACTAGAGGTTTCTGCAGTCCACAAAGAGAATGTGGTTTGGAGGATGAGTATGGAAAGGGGAGGTGAGAATTTGGAAATTACTTCAAAGACAAAACATATCAACAGCCTGAATGTGACAGGTACAAAGGGGTGAGGAGTCCATGGGTTGTGCCAGCAGTGTAATGGTGGGAATGAAAAAGACTGCAGAATTATTCTCCCAGGCAGGACAGTCAGGAATTAGCAAAGAGGACAAGATAGGGTTTCATGCTGTTGTGAAGTGAACAAGGCTGTGGAGGAAGGTTGGTCAGAAACAATGACAGCTGTGAGCCAAACTAAAAATTATGGCAGGGAAAGCCTCATAAATTCACCCCTGCTCCACTTCCTCTTGTCACTCCTGGATCACTCAGTACTAGTTTCACGTAAAATGTCTCACACACTGTCCCTGTTTTGATGTGATTCTTTTTCTGATTTGGTAAGGAGAGGTGGATGGCTGTCCCACCACTCTACTGCCCTGGAAGCGTAAAGTGGATTTTCCTATGCCTTAGAGGTTTAGTCATACATGAGTGGTGTTAAGGAACCAGAAAGTGCTGTGTGCAATATTACATGCTAACCTTTGGGTGCCTAAAAGCACGAGCCAGAGCCCTATCTGTATTCATTCTCAAGACTGGGCTACACCTCTGTGCTTATTCACTCTCTGCTTATTTCAAGACACATAAAGGAAAAAAACCCCACCATCCTGCATCAAATATACATGATATATGAATCAGAAATGAGCTATGAGTACAGTCTTGGAAGCAAAGCTAATATAGGCTGGGGTGGCACATAAAGAACATAATGCATCAGTATTGTGTCCATCATATTAATGTAGCTGAATCAAAGAGATGCATGTCCAAGGGAGGAGCTGTTCAGTAACAGCTCTAACAACAGTAACTTGGAGATGGCTGAGCAACAGCCTAAGCTACTCAAAAAACAAGTACAGATGTTTAGCTCTCAGGCTGCTTTTCCCAGGGAAATTCATTCATGGGGTTAAGGATGCAAGAGATGGGACCATTCCACACAGACTCTCCAGAAAATGTCCGCGGAGATGTTGTTGCAAAGGATGGAATGGGGAGTACTGACAGAGAGAGAGCAGCTTGAGTGGGCCTACTTTTGCCATGCTCTCCGAGGGACCACAAACAGAAGATGTTTCCAGGTACGTTACACTGGTGTTGAGGTGCATTAACAAAGTACCTTTAATACAGGCACAGCAGAGAAAGCTCCTTCTTTCAGTCTCTGGGAAATCAGCACCTCGCACAGGCAGGTACACACAGTTAGCATGAAAGCTTCCACAAGCTGGCTAGGATGTGGCTGAGGCATGCCAGAAGTTACCATACCTGGGAGTTGCTGTGGCTCCGAAGTTTCAGGCATTTGTTTAAGAGGACTTGTCGGGCCATTGGGCTCCTCTGGGTAACTGGGAGTGGGACTTGGGGGCCGAGGCAGCTGTTACGGAAAGGAGAGAAAATAAAGTCCACCCCGTGTCATTTTTTTCTCAGCCTCTCCAAGTGCCTTACTGCTTCTTAAGCAGTCTCTGTGTTGCAATATCTTTCCACTTCTCTCCCTCACCTCTCCCTTCTCATCTGTATCCTCATCCTCATCAACATAAGCAAAAGATTCATGCTTCAGCTTTGGCAGCGTTGCCCATGGTCCCTTGCTGTGCCCATCGTAGGGTGCCTCAGACAGCTTCTGCTGCATTTCTCTGTTGAGGAGCCGTCGCCGTTCTGGGCTTATATGTCTCTGGAGGAGAGCCTGCAGTTCAGATCGCTCTACAGATCCCAGAAGGATCATGGTCTCTGCATAACACAGAGCAGAGAAGCCATTAAGCCACTTCAAGGTTTTGAATGTCCCCTGCCACACACTGCCCCTTCCTCCCTCCAACCTCTTCAAAGTGCTCGGATTCATACTACCTAGAGCTATACAAGAGTCATCGAGCAGCCCTGCTAGTTGCTGCTAATACACCGTGGGGCTGTGGGAAGCTCACCATCCCCGAGTCGTGCCACTCCTCAGCACCACATCAGAAGCAGGCTTTTTACTTATGCTAGATGCTTCCCTGTTGTCACAGTTCAGTCCACAAACTTCCCCCACACCTCCCTTACCTGCTATATCTGCTTCACTGCCCACACTCCAGCTTACCTGTCTGACCAGCTGAAACAGCCTTCTGTCATACAGCGTCCATAGCGGAAGATTTTTAGGACAATATTTTATGTAGTGGGTCACACTGTCTCCTTCACAGCATGTAATTTGAAAGCTAGTTTCTTTGGCTCTTTAAGCTGAGAGAGTCTTCAGGAAGGACCAGTTTCGCCACATTGCTTACCTGGTGAGTCCACCAGAGGCAAAGTCTTAACAGTGGTGCTTTGGAGCAGAGTTTGCAAGTCTCGGTATTTACAGTTGGAGGAGACGAATTTCACATCTTGGACCATAATATCCTCAACAAAGATATTATATTTACTGTGAATGTATGGACAATAAGGTGAAAAGTTAGCATATTAAAAATGTCTAGCAGATAAATTCCTTAAAGAAATATATAAATGACCACTTCTTTAAAAAGTGTTCTCAGCACAGTTGCTAAATAATCTTCTGTGAGAGTAACCAAAGAGGACTTTCCAACAGGACCAACACAGATTAACTGGATTTTCATTGCAGTTGTATTCCATTCCATTACCCCTCACCATAAAAACACACACATATATATACATATATGTATAGATGTTTTATAGATACATACCTATGTATATTATATATACTAGAAAGAGGAAGGAATGTATATGAATAACTGAATTTTGTTTTAAGCAAAATATCCAAATAAAATTATATTTCAAACATTTGCTGGAGAAAAAAAATCCAACCCCACTGAATTCAGAACAAAATGGAAAATGAGACACTTGATTTTTAAATTTTTAAACTGAAGCAATTTGGTAATATCAATACAAATTCAGTAATGCTGCAGATTATTCAAACCTGTGCTTTCAGTAAAAAAAAAGAAGAGGACTTTTCTCTGCTTCTGCGTACAAACCCTGATTCTACTCCACCACTTGTTTTTCCCTTGCTCCGGGCCTATTCTGCCTTTTTATTTTCTTTGTAGTACTATCCCCTTTTCATGACCTTTTATTCTCCCATGGTCTCATCCTCTTCTGCTTTATTTCTTTGCCACTCCCCACCTCCACCTCTGTTTTACTACTATACCTTATGTGATTCCAGCCCAGGTCTGGCAGGTAGGGCAACTTCTTCACCTGGATGATGCTATCATAGAGGCTGGGCTGCAGACTTTGGGCCACCATGTTGGCAAGAATGACAGCCACCATCATGGGGAGGATGTGAGAGATCTGACCTGTCAGCTCGAAGCAGATCACAGCAGTGGAGACAGTGTGGCTCACTGCTCCTGTCAGAGCTGCTGCACCTTTCCCAGGTAGGGTGGAAAAGGAATAGGGAGAGAAGATGACTGTCATATAGAAACAGCATGTCATGTCAACCAGGAAACTCATGGGGATGGGACCAGGCGAAGAAAAAGAAAGACATGCATACTCACCAATGACAGCATACCCTCCAGGTAAGATTTGATAAACAATACCATCAAAGAGGATCCCATTGGGAAAAAGTGATGCCATGATTTCCCCAATAAGACGCCCAAATGCAGCACCTGGAAAATATCACTGATAATTATGGAATTAACATCTAAGGAACACCCAGTCTGTGCTGTGCAGAGATTGCTGGGCAATCACTTGAGTATTTTCTAACAGAAACAAAATAAAAACTTACTTTAAAATGACACTGGGGACTAAAGAGTAGTTCTCAGTTACAAAATATAGAAGTTAGACTCCAAGAGGACAAAAAGGTATTAAGATATGTAAGTACAGTTGACCCCTCATTCTTCCACTTAGGCACACCAGGCACAGTGGTATTTGTGATTCCCAGGTAGGAGGAAATATTTTCAGAATATGTACAATGTCAGTCCAGATCACAGTTGAGGCCCTTCACACACTCATTCTATCAATGTCCAAACACTAGAATCACAGCTTACAGAAGAGTTTAAGTGGGAAGGGATTTTTGGAGGTCTTGTTCTGACCCCTGCTTACAACAGTGCTAATTTCAAAGCAAGATCAAGTCACCCAGGGCCTTGTCCAGACAAGCTTTAAAAGTCTGCAAGGATGGAGATTCTCCAGCCTTTCTGAGCACCTTAACGAAGGAAACAATTTTTTTCTTATGTCCCATCAGGATTTCCCCTGTTGCAACGTGTGCCTTTACCTCCTATTTACTGTGTGTCTCTACAAGGAGTCTTTCTATCCTCTCTATCCCCTGCTGCATTAGGTGGTGAAGGATGCAGATAGATCCCGTCTTGGCCTTCTCTTCTGCAGGCTGAACAAGCTCAACTTCCTCAGGCTTTCCTTGTTTGTTTTGTGCTCCAACTCCCCAACAATCTCAGTGGCCTCCACTGGACTCATTGCACTTTGTCAAAATCTCTTGTATTGGTGGACACAGAATGGCACAATATTCCAGAATTGCGTCCAAAATGCTGAATGCAGGGAAATAACCAATTTCTTTGCCTTGCTGGCTAGGCTTTTCTTAATACAGCCTTGTTTGTGGTTAGCCTTCATCACTGCAAGGGCGTGCTACTGACTCATGTTCAGTTGCTGCCTGCCAGAACCCAGAGGTCCTTAGCGCACACCATTTCATTTAAGAGCTGGGGATCCTTACTGCTGAACTTCATGAGCTTGTATACTTTAGTCTAACATAGCCTCTCTTTCTTAACATTAGCATCATATTCTTTTTATGTTTTGGTCTTGGAATTAAAACCAGTTAAAAAACAATAAACTCCTGTATGTTACCATGTTTCAGTCAGAAGAAATGAGTAAGTGGTGGATTACATTGCAGGCACTAGTTTTGAGGTTATCTCTTCCAGTTGGCTTTCAGGGGCGAAAGGAGCAACTACTACTAATTGTAGGATGAGAGTTCCTCTGTAGGTGAAGAGGCAGAGAAATTAGAAGGCCATGGCTCAGCATACCTCCCCACAGTGTGGCTTTCCTTATGTAAAAGGACAGGGATTTCCTCCTCAGCATTTGGATTTGGGGCTGGGAAATGACAAAAGCAGAGACTCAGAGGCTGGTATATGGACTGTTAACCAAGCTTGACATAGACGTCAAGTGATGACTCCTCATCCACGAGAAGAAACCTACTGGGTATGTATGCAATGTCTCTCTTATCCTCTCCACCTGTCAGACCTATATGCTGCAACCCAAAATTGAAACTCACCTAGAACAAAAACAGGCATGAAGCCTCCACAGGGGATTGGCATCGTGGTAGCAATGACAGACATCCAAAACTAGAACAGAGGCAGAGGGTGCAGTTGTTAGTGAGCAGCAATAGCATTTCCTGCAGCCCTACTCTACTGCCCAGCCTGTGAATCCGTGAGGAGACATGTTCTGAGGGATCTGGCAGTTCAGACAGAAAGTGAAGGGGCTGTGGGGTGTGAAGGGGAGCTGGAGGAACTCTGGCAACACACCAACACTGACGCAGAGGACCTCTGGGCAACCGTTGTGGTGGCAGGGAAGCTGAATCACCAAGGGGCTGGATGAACGTGAGAACTCCTTTGCCTTGCACCTCAGAAGTTGAGATTTCCTACTGCTCCAAACAGCTTAACTTTTCATAGAACAAGGTTGTCAAAATTCCACAGACTCAGAAAGATTTCAGTGAGAAGGGAACTCTGGAGGTCTCTCCCCCAACTTCCTGCTCCCAGAAGGGCTAATTTCTAAGTTAGATCAGGTTGCTCAGGGCCTTGTCCAGGTGAGTTCTGAACATCTTGAAGGGTGGAGATTCCCCAGCTTTTCTGGGCATTTGTGCCACTGCTGACCCACACTCCGGGGAGACTTTTTTCCTGAAGTCCAACTCATATAAGTTTCCTGTATTATAGCTTGTGTCTGTTGCCTCTTGTCCTATCAGTATGTTGGGCAAAATGATGAAATCTGTCCTGGTACTGCTAAAACCGATTCAAATGCTGACCTAGCCCAGCACATACAAACTTCTTCTGGAGGCAACAACCTAATCTTACAAACACCTCAAAGGCCAATACGCTCAGACTTTCTCAGGCAATATGACAAGAGATTTCCACAGTTGAGGGAAACACAGAGAATGCTGCTGTTTCAAAAGATTGTACAAAGAAGTGTACTAGCAAGATGTCACTTGCTGCAGCAGTATCATCCATAGGAGAGAGACAACCATAGTCCAGCACGTCAAGAGCAATACTTTCAGGTATTTCAGGACCATAGTCTCCTCAGAGTGGGCAAATCCTTCCTGTTCAAGGTCCACCTTTGAGGAGGTGATGCCTCTGCAGACATTGTTGTAGCTGTAGACGAGATACTAATCTGTAGACAGTCAGTTTGCTGAGAGGAAATCCATCCAGGACAGCTTTTCTGCTGTAACTCTCACAGGATGGTTGGCATAAAAGGGAAAATGAAGCCAGGATGTAGCCTTCCATTTAGGAAAGCCCTCTACAAAGGTAACAAAGAGCCAGCAGAACAGCATCTCTCAGCCCATGGTTGGAGGGGATGGGTTGGACCATCAATTTGATACTGGCTGTTGCTCTTCCTTCCATAAGCCATTTGAATATTCCAGGGGAGAAGTTCCTGGCTGGCTACAGAGGCCAGCAAGCTGCAGAAGTGGAGTACTGCTAACTAAGCTCTGTCTTTGCAGTACCAAACCCAGGCCAAATACAGCTAGGAATTGAGATTATAGTGCAGTGGAGAATCAGGCCAAGTCTTTGCCTGGAGTCGAAACAGCAGTTTCTTTTTTATGTGGTCTATCCCAACTCTGAATATATCCAGAAGAAAATAAACTGCTTGGAGCAGTTATCTAGTGAGTTGAGGAAGCCTTTAGTTAATGGGACAAGGCCAATGAATCTAGTGTCTGAGGATACAACTCTTCCAAAGGAGAACAGATGGGTTCAGGATAGATACGCCATTTAGTCCATCCCTCTTTTATTCAAGTAAATGAGACCTTATCTGTTTGGTACACTATAATCAGAATTATCACAGAAGCAGAACCCTTAACTGCCTGTCAGAAATTTGATAGTGTTTTACTTTAGGTGGAATCAGCTGTGTCAATCAATCATTGATGTCCATTCCTGATCTACTGAAATGTTCAACTGATATTGCAAAATAGCCTCAGCTCTTTTGCTCCTTTGCAACAAAAAAAATCACCATTTCTATGATATTTTTACCCTTTTATCTTCCCCCTCCCCCCTAGGAAAACCTCTTTCTTGCTACTTGTATTTTTAACACAGGAATATGTTTTTTTCTTTCAAATCTCTTCTCTTGTTCTGTCATGTGTCAGTAACACAGCTGATCCTTTCAGACCCTGAACAGTTGCAAGTTCCACAGACTATGTCAGCTCAGAACATTAATCCACTGTTGCTTTCTGAGAAGTGAGCAAAACTGTTGCTCACTGCAAAGCTGTATTTCTCCATCGAGTTACGGTACTGCTAACAAATCCTTGAGTCTCACACAACTATAGATTGTGCTTGCATATTCTTATTTGTCTTCTATCTGTAGTCAGGAATATTAAGTAGACTGTATCAGACTTTATTTAGACCAAATATAAATTATCTGAGAGCTCTTTACTCAATTACTTATTTTTTCTGGAACTTCAGAAATCTTCCCTGATGTAGTCCTCCCTACCAACTACTACACGGTGG